TCTACTTCTACAGATGAGGAAACTGAGGCCCCAAGACAGCCAGATACCTCCAGCACCAAAACTAGAACCCAGAATTCCAGTTCAGCCCTCTTTCAGTCGAGTCGCCTATGTTTATAAGCTAAAAATGTATTCAAAAGGCGTACTGGTGCACATCTGTAATCCTAGCAGCTCGGGAGGCTGAGGCAGGAGAATTGCAAGTTCAAAGCCAGCCCGAGCAACTGTGAAGCGGTGACACCCTGTCTCTAAATAAAATACAAAATAGGGCTGGGGACGTGGCTCAGTGGTCAAGTGCCCCTGAATTCAATCCCCGGTACAAAAAAAAACAAAAACCATATTTAAAGCACTTGTCCCTACGTATGATAAACATACTTTTGTGCGGTGTTTCCTTTACAAAACTTCTTTTGACAATAATGTTTTTTGTTAACGCAGCAAGAGGGGAAGAAAAAAAAAACACACAGAAACAGAAACACACAAACCTGAGCCATTATAATTCAGTGTATAAAAAATAACTATTTTATTTCTCATTTATAAGTAGCCTAAGAGGTTGGTACCTTCCAGTCCTAACTAAGGCCTATATTTAGAAAGCAGAAAACATAATCCCACACTTTAAAATGGCCTTGATTGATTTCAGCGAAGCATATCAACAGGTGACACCATAAGAGGAGAGGCAGACATGGAACTTTACAAGTCAAAAGCGGCTGACCTCACATGAACCCAGGGCCTGACCTCGGCATCCCCCGAGCAGGGCAACCAGGCTTCAGGACAGACATGACACCATCTGTACATGACGTTCTCGGGGACGAGGGACCCAGAAGTCAGAATGTGATCCAGACTTTAGGGAGGGGTGGAGAAGCCAGTTAAATGATATCAAGAGGCCAAGCGATGGATGTCTTTCACAAGGGCACAGAAAGGGGTGCAGGGGACAGCGGTGCTGGCCACTAAAAACCTTAAGGAAACATCGCAACCAAGTGCAACTCATAAATCGAGTCTGGACCCCAATTTAACAAACATTTTGTAAACAATCAGGGATATCTGAATATGGGCCTAGTATTAGGTGACATCAGAGAACTGGTAATTCTGCTCTGGGGACACAGGCAATGTGACTGTCTAAGAAATTATCAATTATTCATACACACACTAAAATATGTTGGAAAAAAATGACATGAGATCTAGAATTTGCTTCAAAATATTTCAGCAGCAGCAGCAACAAAGAATGAGTGAAGCAAGGCGGGTCCTCATTAACTGTTGAATCTGGATGTGGGTCACCGGGGTGATGGGTGCAGAGTCCCTGTATTCCCTACTTCTGTGTATGTTTGGAAATGTCTATGATTAAAAAGGTAAAAATAAAACTCTTATCTTTTGAAGTCTTTTAAGAGATTAAAAAATGAAAGCAAAACTGTCCTTTTTCTTTGATTTATTCATGAGAAAATGTCTTGGTGAAACCTAAGCCCTGAAGAGAACCCAGAAGGACCCTGGTTCAGGGATTCTCAAACCTGGCTACACATCAGAAACGCCCACGAAACTTATCTCTACTACCAATTTTCCACAGCCTACATCCAACTCAAACTCTCCATTTATCTCTGAGCAATGATCATTGTTTTTAGGGGCTTGGGATGTGGCTCAAGCGGTAGTGCGCACGCCTGGCATGCGTGCGGCCCAGGTTCGATCCTCAGCACCACATGCAAACAGAGATGTTGTGTCCGCCAAGAACTAAAAAAAATAAATAAATATTAAAATTTAAAAAAAAAAATGATCATTGTTTTTAAACACCACCAGAGATTCTGATGCAATCTAGTACCTTCCTACTCTAACAGCCCAGCCAAACAGTTGTTCAGCAGGGTACGCGTTCCAAGCCCTCAGGGACAAGATCACATAGGATTCCTCATTCTCACTGCTAGGCCAAGCTTAACCAAGTTCTCCACTTTAAGAAAAAAAGTGAACCAGGTGTGGTGCCACACACCTGTAATCCCAGCAGCTTGGGAGGCAGAGGCGGGAGGATCGAAAGTTCAAAGCCAGCCTCAGCAACAGTGAGGCACTAAGCAACTCATTGAGACCCTGTCTCTAAATAAAATACAAAATAGGGCTGGGGAGGTGGCTCAGTAGTTCAGTTGAGTGCATCTAACTTCAATCACCAGAACAAAAAAAAAAGTGAATGGCCAACTTGGTACAACTAACTTGCAAGGCACTAATGTTCATCTTCATTTAATGTATTTCTCACCAACATCTGAATGTATTTGTGTTGAGGTAGAAATTTACAGGAGGAGGGAGCCACCACCAAGCAAAAATTCCCCGGGGAAAAAAAAAAAAGTGTTCCTGTACAGCCCAATGGGCTCTCCCTGGGCAAACAATCAGGGGGAATGCCTTTCCTTTTATTCAGCTAGCCCAGGGAAAAACCACAAGTGAACGGCCCGGGGCCAGTGCCCTGGAAGTACCTGGCTACACCATAGCATACCTGGGTTACCTAAGCAAACCTGGCAGTTGTGCCTCTCATCAGCCACCAGCTGGCCCCAGGGTAACCCAAGAAAAGAGGAGAGAGGAAAAACACAACTCTAGCCTTGTTCTCACAGCATCACTAAGGCTGGGAACAAACTCCCAACCACAAAACTGACTGGCACTGATCAGAAACATGTCAATGCAGGTCAGCATGGGTAGGAAGCCAGCACTCAACATTTCACAAGATTAACAATCTCAAATCCTTAAAACCACGCCCTTTCAACAAACCCTATCTGCATTTATCCAGATTGACACCCATCACCCCCGGAAAACAAGACTCCCAGAATCCAGTGCGGGGCGGGGTGGGTGGAGGTGGGGGTAGATGGGAGTTCCTCCAGGTGAGCTGTAACACACACCACCCAACACCAGCTTGCGGTTCCCAGGGCTCCACGATGAATAATCCTCACAGTCTGGCAGCTCACTTTAGAGTTGGTGTTTAACATTTCAGACTGTGCATTTGCTGAGTTACTTTTATGTGCACCCGCATTATGGCAAAATGCTGTAACTTGCAGAATCGTGTACACCAAGCTAAAAGCCCTGTCCACGGCTTTATCAGTGACAGAGGCTGAGGTCCTGATGGGCACTTCCTTCTCTACAGTCTAGGTCTGGAATTGCTTGCTCAGACCTTCCCCTTTTTTGCCATAAGGACCCACCAATAAGAAGCCTTTAGTTTCACAGGCTGGGTCTTTACAGGAAAGAGATAAGTCTCCTAAGTTTCTAGAATAACTTCAAGCACTCAACAGAGCGGAGTCCAGAGGCCAGTCTCCAAATGGCCAACCTGAAAAATGGAGGGAAGGCTTGTAATCCCAGCCACTCAGGAGGCTGAGGCAGGAGGATTGCAAGCCCAAGGCCAGTCTGGGCAACTTAGCAAGACTCTATCTCAAAAAATAACAAGTACTGGGGCTGGGGATGTGGCTCAAGCGGTAGCGCGCTCACCTGGCATGCGTGCGGCCCGGGGTTCGATCCTCAGCACCACATACAAACAAAGATGTTGTGTCCGCTGAAAACTAAAAAATAAATATTGAAATTCTCTCTCTCTCTCTCTCTCTCTCTCTCTCTCTCTCAAAAAAAATAAATAAATAAAATAACCAGTACTGAGGAAGCAGCTCAGTGGTCCAGTGTACCTGGGTTCAATCCCCAGTTCAAAGAAGAAAAAAAAGGAAAGCGGGGGAGGAAGTAGATAACGGAGGACAAGAGAGGGCTTCTCGGACCCGGGACTTCTCCTTCATTTGAACTGGCACAGAGGTTGTTACAGCTACATAAAAATAAGGACCTGAGGAAGGAGAGCCCCAAAGACGAACGTTCACATCTGTACACTCCATCCCATCAGAGTCAGACTCCGTGGCGACCACATCCTTCCTCTCCCCCTGACACCACCACTCCACCCTGCGTCCCCATGCCCACCTCACACACACTCTGGGGGAGCAGACACACGCGCCCAGCCTGAGCCAGCAGAACCCTGGCTGTCCCACCTCCTTATGCATATTCTCCTTCCACGTCAAGGACAAGCGGAATATTCTCAGGCTCCAGATTCTACTTGAAACAAAAACATGTGTCTGGAGAGAAAGACATGGAAGACCCCAACCCCGCACAGCCGCAGGCCCCACCCTTGAACAAGTATGAACAGCAGGGCACCAGGGCTGGAAAGCACAGTGACATGAAACTGCGGACGGAACTTTTTCTGGCAATTTATTTTAACTGCGGCAACACGGCTTTCCAGAACACCAGGTTGGATCAGGTTTTGTTTCTCCGCTGGGTGGATCCTATCTCTGGCGCCCCCTATTATATTCTTACCAGAAAAGTAAAGCAGCTTATTAAAATCGTCTTCTTTTAGCCAACCACAAAGCACAAGCTAAGAACTTAAAGTCAAAATTCAACTGTTTTAAAAGTCCTTCTGTAATGGGACCCTTACCCTGAGCCAATTTTGCACATGGAGTTTCAAAGTTGCCAAACTCTAAATTTCATAAATGTCCTCTGGCAACTCATGTCCCTGATTTGTCTAGGAGTATAAAAGTACCTTCAAGTATCCTCCCAAGGTCTCTTGATGTTCATTTATTCCAGAATCCTGGGGAGGTGATCTTTTTTAATATTCAGAAAAAAAATAATTTTTCTCTAGATGTTGGTGGCAATAGGAGGCCAATGTCCTCACAGTTAGAAACCTCATGGTCAGTGGGTGCACTTGGAATACAGATCTTTGTTTGAACTCTAGTGACCCATCCACATGAAGGGGCGATACTGAGAACCACTTGGTTCTGTGAACCACGGCTGGGTATGAGAAAGGCCATCAGTGAGAACTTCTTGACAGCATGAAGACGAAAAAGAGCACATAACTCATAAGGTTAAGGAAACAGAAGTCTTCACAACAACCTAAATGAGCCAAAGTAAACAACAAACAAACAAACAAAAACAGGCATTTATAAACCCCTACACTTCAATGTGGTAGATACGAGCTGCTTTTTGGTGGAGAAAAATATGTCATAAACTGGTTCCGGACACATGAGGCTTACCTGACTCCTCTCTTTGTCCACTTTCTTAAAACACTTATTCAATGACAAATTATGTCTCACTGAGTTTTTCCACCCAGTAGGTGCATTCGCAAAATATGGAAAATGTTCCAAGATCCAGTTGTAGATATCCTTCACTGGCAGGCGCTTGGTTGGAGAGTCCTCGATGGCCATAAATATGAGGCAGCTAAAGGAGTAGGGGGGCTTGCAGTTGGGGTTCTGCCTGGCATCATAGGGCATGTCAGAGTGGGCTGGGGATGGAGGGGTGTCGTCGTCCAGGTCCTGGACAGGGCTGACACTCCTGAGGACCGACTCCCCAAAGCTCTTCAGCAAGTTCTTGCTCTCATGCAGCCAGTTCAGGTTGGTCAGCTCTTCATCTTCCATGGTGCCCTCTTCTAGTCTGATGTCAGGCAGAGAAAAGTCGAGGTCATCGTCTTCCTGAAGGGCCTTGGAGAAACCACTGCCCCGGTAACACTGACTCAGTCCACTGGACACACTAATTCCTGAGCTTTCTGGCTTCTTACTGGCAGGCATGACTGGACCCATTTACGTGAAGGCTCCTGGGAGAGAGAGCGCGAAGACAGAGGCGTTGGTCAAACTCAAAACACAAAGGCAGAGGAGGCCCTAATTCTCCCACTCCCTCAGCCCACCCCAGCCTCCTCTCTGGGTACGGCTCCATAGGGACACCACCTCATGACTCCCACACTGAGCCACACAAACCCACAAACCCACCACACAGAAATACGCTAGTAAGAAACATCAGTCCACCGTTTCAACAGCAGGGTGACCTAATACCCCTTAACCTAACTGAAAACATTTACATCATCTTTAAGGTGCAAATAAATCACAAAAAGGATAAGAAATTCACCATCTCCCTTAGACCTTCAAAGGCTCTCACCATGTCCTGGGGGAAATCAATTATTACTTGGTATCCTGCTTTCTCCATAATACTCAAAAGTATAATATGTAAAATTCTTTGGAGCTTCATGATTAACTACAAAATAAGTACAAAGGAAAAGGCTTTGTGCAATCAGTCTGTTTATTTTTCTAAAAAAAAAAAAAAAGGAAAACACTTATAGCATTTATTTTATTTGTATTCATTTTATTATGTTTTTGAGATGGGATCTCACTAGTATGCCCAGGCTAGCCAGAGCATAGCTGGGATAACAGGTGTGCGGCCACTGCTCCCAGCTAAAATGAAAAAAAAATAAATAAATATAAATTTAAGGGCAATTATTCAAGATTAAGTTCAGCCATTTCTATATAAAGATCATTACAAGGGCCTTGGAATTAAAACTGTGGCCCCAGGGACCATTGATTTGGTTCTTTTAACCAATTCCTCCCCCGAAAAGTCATGATCAAAAACTGCAAACTTTTCAAAGCCAGCCTCAGCAATTTTGCAAGGCCCTAAGCAACTTAATGAGACCCTGACTCAAAATAAAACATAAAAAGGGCTAGGGGTGGGGGCTCAGTGGTATAGCACTTGCCTAGCATGTGTGAGGCACTGGGTTCAATTTTTAGCACCCCATATAAAAAGATAAAATAAAGCTCCATTGACAACTAAAAAATATGGGGGCGGGGGGGGGGGGCAGGTTAGAGGTATGACTCAGTGGTTAGGCACCCCTGGGCTTAATCCCTGTTAGAAGGGGGGGGGGGGGACAAAAACTGCAAACTTAATAACATTTGGCAAGTTGGAAGAGGATGGCAAGGATTTTGTGGATTTGAACTTGACTATGAAGCACATTAAATTTTATTAGGACACCACACCCAGAATGCTAAAGAAAATGATTTCAGACAAATAAGTGGGAATGAAAGATAAGCCATTAACTAAAATTGGAACTGGTTGGGGGGGAAAAGTCAGGAAAGGGAGCAACTGGCAGCTTCAAGGCAGGAAGACAAATTCAACAAAAATTGTTACAGTATTCTATTCCCTCCCCTCACCGGAGCCCTCCCCATTTTAATCAGTGACCCAGAACAGGGAGTAAAATAATATCTGATGAGAAAAACAAATAAAGAGGTGGCAAATCACAAACAGAACAACCTCTACAGATAAAAAGTACATTCAACCCTCCAGCACTCCACCTAAGCTAGAACAGCAAATGTAACAAAAAGTCTTCCAGCCTCCCTTTGTACTGCGCAAACAATGTGCTTAGTTTATTAAGAAAAGTGTTTTAATTTTTTTTCCTCTTGAGTAAAAAGATCAAACAATTTACCTAGAAAAAATGAATGAACACATCAAAAGCAGAGACAAAATCATTCTAAGCCTCTAAATGTCCATTCCCACCACCTCTGAAATAACTGCCGCTTCAGCAGGGCAAGCTCCAGCCTGGGCTTCTAGAAAGGGAGAGAGAAGTGGGCAGCAAACCACCAGCCAAGGAGGCCAGTGAACTGCAACACTTTCCCTCTTCCCTGAGGTAGACAACCTGCTGGACAGGTGGGAGGGGCAGCTCTCTGGAACTGCTGCCAGATGCCCATCTCTAAGGAGAGAAAACTCCAACCTGGCATCACCACCCAACCCAGGCAGGACAGACCAGATGCCTTGGGTTCCTCCACTGGAGTATTTCTTTCTGTCAAACTAGGGAGCTACTCTGAGTTCTACATGACACGTGCTAAAGAAAAATAAATAAATAAATAAGCTAGTACCTCTAAGTCTGGGATATGACAGATTTCTGTCAGTTATTGCTCTTAACTTATTTATGAACCAATCAAAGCCAGGCTTGTCTCAAAAGTTTCCTCAGTCCCCATCAGAAAACGTCCTGATTTCCAGTATACCCACAGAGCAGACACAAAGGAGATCTACTCAGCCACTGAAGTCAACTTTAGCTCCAAATGAAAGTTTTATGTCTCCTGAGCTTCCAAACAGGAAAATTATATCATGGCTGACAGTAAAGTAATTTAATTGCACTGTTGCTATGACAACACGCTGCTCTCTTTCTTTTTAATTTGCTTATTTGTCAGTAGCTTCCCAAAGGAACTAACACGCTATTCTCCATGTTTTCTTTTGTTTTAAACAAACACTGCAAGCAATGTGGTTATATTAGAAAAAAAAAAAAATGGCACGGTCGAAAAAAAAGAGGGTTTGGGGGTTCATACCCCGCGATCATTTGTCTGCTTTGTGCTCCCCGCAGACTCTCTGTTAACTGCATCCCAATAAATTTCTCATTTTATGGTAACAGTATGGATGGCTGCTGATCACTAGTTCGTGTTAAAAAAAAAAAAAGAAAAGAAAAAACCCAGTTCCCAGAAACCACAGCTGAGGAGTTTTCCATTATTATACGCTACATAATCGCCAAATATTTTTTTCCTCCTATTTTGTGGAGGGGGGGAGTCTGGATCATGTGAGCCCACAGTTAAGCAAACATTTCTAATCTGCTGCCAATAAGGTTGCTCACCAGATTCGCAAATAGTTTTCACTAGTGACCTCCTTACAACTTTTTAGGCTTGTTATTGGTTACATTCCCTCTACCACACACACACACACACACACACACTTTTTGTATTTTGTTTCCTTTTTTACTTATTTATTTTTTTTAACGAAGAGAATGTAGCAGGAAAGCTGAGTTTCTTGCCTGGTATTAGAACGTCTCCAAAGAACTGACAAAGACGTTATGGCCCAGCTCTGAACAGATGTTCCATGTGAACTTTAAAAAGTTGAGAAATTCTTCCCGAGTGAAGCTGGGCAGTCTGGAGTTTGGGGGCCCGAGGAACAACCCCCCCCCCGCCGCCCTGCGCGCGCACGCACGCACGCGCTCCACTCAGGTCTACTGTACTTGTCAAAAACATTTCAAGGGGACCAGCGAAAGCGACCATTGGCTGCTTCCCGAGTCAATCAGCGGCGTTGCCACGCAACGGGGAAACTGCTCTTCTCCGCGCACCCAGGGCAATTGGGAGCTCGCATACCTTCACTGCCGGTCAGATGTCATAAACCTTTTATTGGCTGCACCGTGGCGAGCCTTAAAAACCAATCAATAAAAGCCCGCCGACCCCCCAACTTATCCGGAACCCAAGACGGGTTTCAAGGAGACGGGGTGAGGAGGGGTCGGGCCTCGGGGGTCTCGGGAGACGTTCGCGGCGGGTGCCAATCTTGCACAGTTTGGGGGGAGGGAATCTTTGTTAGGAGCCTGTTTCTCATCTTGGGGTCTCTGCTGGATCGGCACCCCTTCCCCGACCCGGGGCCGCGGGAATCCGGTCCCCCGCAGACAATACCAACTCTGCCTCCAGGGTCTTTTCGGCAACCGGGGCACCGGGACCGGCCCGCACGTCGGGGCAGGAAACTCTTCGGCCCGGGCAACTTCCCCGCTCAGGGGCTCTGATCTCCCCGCCTGGCCAGGCCCCCCACCCGGCCCTCACCCAAGAGCTGCGAAGTCCCTCGTCTTCCGAGAGCGGCGAGGTAGCCTCCAGGGCCGCCTCGGACGAGTCCCCCGCCCGAGTCCCCCCAGCTCTCGGGCGCCGGCGGGAGCGAGCCGCAAACTCACCTGGCCGGAGCGAAGCACGGGGGCGCGGGGGCGCCGCTGCCCTTCAGCGGAGCCGACAAACTTTCGCGGGCGCCCAGCGGGCATCGCTTGGTGGCCCCGCTAAGGACGCGCGGGCGCGGCGCGGCGAGCCCCGGGCGGCGGGCGGCGGGGGGCGGCCGCGGGCGCGGGCGGCAGGGGCGCGGGGGTCGCGGCGCGGCATGGGACCTGCGGCGTCCGCCTGGCGCGCCGCGCGTCCTCCCGCCGGCCCCGCCGCTCTCCCCGCCCCGTCCCGCCTCCCGCTCGCCTCCGCCGCGGCGCGTCGGGCCGGGGCGCGCCGAGCGGCGAGAAATTGTTTCCACTGCAAACAAAAAAAGGCGACACATGACCAGGCAGGAGGAGGGGAAGCGCGGGGAGGGAGGAGAGCCGAGGGGAGGGACGGAGCGGAGGGGGCGGAGGGAGCCGGAGAGAGGGAAAACGTGGGCCGGGCCGCCGGCGGCCTGGGGCGCTGGGCGAGGACCCACCGGGGCGGCCCCTCGCGTCCCCCGGCGCCTTGGCCTGTCCTGGGCCCCGCGCCCCACAGCGCCACAAACGCAGTCCGGGCCTCGGCCCGGCTGGGCTGCACGGACTCATCTTCTGCCTCACCGCTGGACGGAGCAGGTCGGCGTGGGCTCGGCGACCAGGGGCAGCTGCGGCCGTGGGCAGCGGGACAGGTGGGGCGGGCGGCGCGTGGCCTCTCCCCTTCCCTGGCTCCGGCCTCACGGGCCGGCCGGCGCTGCACAGCTGGCAACGTGTCGCCGGAACGCTCCTATCCCATCCGCATGCCTTACAAGGCTCGAAAGTAAAAATAAAAAGAATTACGATGAGAGCGAGGCTTGTGATGGTGAGGAGATTCCACTTCTCTCAACTACTGCGTCTTGGCAGAGCTCCCAGGAGCGCCCGAACCCTCCTCCAGCATGCACCCCATGCCCCCGGAAGAAAGGCATCCTAGCTCCAGCCCAGGTGGCCAAGCATCTGCCAAGGAAGGGAGGGTGGCCATTACAGACCAAGAGGCGGGCCCTAAAGGCCATGACGGTGGGGCCTCTCTAGTGGGTTGAACTCAAGCCCCT